AAATGGATAAGTTATTAAGTTATGAGCAAAATAATGAGTTTTACTCTTTGATTGTTTATTTAAAAACAGTTCCACTAAAAATTGATAAATCCCTAGGTGAGAGTCTTTTTGTAATATCTCATACACATTTCAACTGTCAAACCCGTCTATACAGTTGTGACAAAAAATATTTAGTTTTTACTAACTTAATTGGTTTAATCCACAATTCATATTTTTTGACCAAACGCGTATATGTATGACTGAAAAAAATAATATTTGATGATTGGATCTTAGGTTTTAGAACATCAAGAACTTTTTTGAAAGAATTTTTTTTTCAAAAAATTATATATTTCAATAAATATATATATATATATATATATATATATATATATATATATATATATATATATATATATATATATATTCATACAGATTTTTAATGATAGCTTTATAAACTCAAATAATTTTTTCAGTAAACTTTTTACTAAGGGTTCCAGATGTGCGAGATAGTATTTTTTGCGTAGAATAATATCATTTAATTTTTATAAGTAGTGACAGATGAGTGTGGGAACATTTACAGGATGATGGGGACGAACAATATGATAAAAAACAATAAAATTATTACAATCCTAAAATATAAAACAATATACAACTATTTATAATTACACAGAAACATACCCGGATGATCGCTTTAGACAAAAATACTCAGTGTCATTCATTGTAAGTATTAAAAAATATCATTTTCATTTATCAAAAAAGGGTTTTTTGAGCAAGTGAAGTTTAAAAAAACTATATATATGTTATATTTATTTATTGCTGATATATATAGTACAAGTAAAAGAATTAATTAATGAATATATTTTAAGTAATAACAAATTTCCATGTGCCAAAAGAATGATCAGTATTCCCAGATTATGAAAGCAATATCAAAAAAAAAACAACAGATTTTTAGATTTTTATAAAGTCGTTTGATATTTTTATGCTCTTAAAGAATAAAAAAAAGAGTCTTTGGAGGGGAAGAGAGTCGTTGACAATACTGTAGAGCACTTGAATTGAGAATAGGGAAGGATAAAGGAGATCAACTCGTACAGTTCTGTCAAGGAATTGACAGTGGGATCATGATCACCTTCTTCCATTTTGTCGCCTGGAAGAATTTATACCTGGAAATCTCCAGCTGATTGTTCGCAAAAAGGTATCAGAAATCAGATTAACTATATCAATACAAACAAAAAAGACTTCAAAATTGCGTAAAATTTTCAAAAACATATCCAGGAGTGGATGTTTCTCTTAAGCCATAATCTTATCTTGGGTCGGTTTAAGCTATACATGAAAAACGTCTGCATGCAAAAAAGTCCAAAAATGACCGAATATGAAATAATATAAAAAATGTACCTATTGATAATTAGAGATTTTAATTTAGAGAGACTTTAATTATCCAGAATTGGTTAATTAAAGGTCTAATGTGATGGGAGCTACTACTGTTAGCCAATTAAAATACTTGCAGTTAAACTAAGAGCGAGCATGTATATAACTCAAAACAGAAACATGTAGAGAAATTAACTAGGGAAGGCAATCTCTGGACAAACTTCAAGATAATGATATTAATGAGAATAAACAATGTTAAACTAAATTAACTAGGGAAGGCAATCTCTAAAAAAACTTCAAGATGATGACATTAATGAGTATAAACTAATCTGTTGTTACTTTTTGATCTATTAAAAATATACACAAACAATTTTAACGCAACATCTGTGACGTATTTTTTTATTGCACAGGTATGATTCTAACACTACGTTTTGCATTTCCTCATAATGACACTGAGCAGTCTTGTTTTAAAATTATCATCCTGTACGAAATATACTATTGCAGTGTTCGTTTTGATCACACACTTATAGTCTGGCACATTGAGTATCGATTTTTTTATATTTTATACACGTATATCACAACTTTACTTAATTTTTTTTAGGCTAAGTCCTCTTAACCGCATCTGGAGTTAAAAATTTCACTCTAATTCTTACTTAGTTTCATATGGTTACCGTTTCTTTTTTTTTTGTATCTAGTCTCTTCTGGGATAAAATTTTGTTCGGTGTTCGTACTACGGTTTACAAGATGCAGCAAGATGTTGAACAGCAACTACTGTTACCACCTTTGCTCTTTTGTCGTTGATCTAAAAACAAAAAAAAATTAGGTTATTAAAAAAATACATATTAATAATCTAAAACTTTCCCAACTAAATAGATTTCGAAACTGTTTTCTTGTGGCATGTTTACGTTTGTTTTAGTCGTTCTCTATTAATTACCGCTTTATTTAACCAAATTTGATAGTAGACTTACTTGGCCTCGATCTTGTAGACAAATAGCTTAGTTTTTAGTTGAAAATTCTGACGATGGTGTTGTACCCTCAGGATGATATTAAATTCTGATTTTTTGTGTGTTTACGTATTATGTATTTACGTATTTATGTATAAATGTAGATGATGACCTTGCATTAATCAATTATTGTTGGTACATTCTTATTGCTAACTTCTTCTTTTAGTATTGGTAACCAGAGCCTGCTATATTATGGTGATGGGTTTGCTTCAGCGGCCCTTATCTTACGTAACAAATGTTTCTGTCACACAACACACAACTAGCTTCCTTGCACTTCATCCATTCCACCCTAATTCTACTGCGTGCGTCCCCATCTATTTCCCCATTACTCTTTAACCGATCCTACGTACTTAAAACTATTACTTTTCACAATCATTTCAACATTTAACGTTATCATTTTATTTGTAGTAAGTCGATCTTTAAATAAACATACTAAATAGTCTGTTGTTGTCCTACTATATAGATTCAGAGAGGTGGCCTTTTGGCCTATTCCACTGCAACCTTTTCAGATCTATTGTGGTCCTCTAGTCCTAGATAACATTCTCTAGACTGACCCTTCTTATAAAGTCTAACAGCTTCGAGACTGTACCTTCCATGTACCTATTTGCCGGTGGATTTTCTTCTCCTAATGCAAAAAACCGCACACTTGTCAGAATGTCACACTGACATAAAATGTGCTCTGCTGTTTCTTCTTTGAGATGACAGAATATCTGCACAGGTAATCCCATCAGCCTCAAGTGTCTATTCAGCTTACAGTGCCCTGTTAGAAGACCTACTATGGCTTTGACTGTCTCCCTGTCTTTGCTTATTAGGTCTGCCGTAAATTTTGGCGATGTTCTGTAATAAACTGTTTCGTCTGTCTTTGTACTAGTGAATTTCTCCACCATTCCAGAGATTTGTGAGCTACCTACTTCCTTGTAGCCGTTCTTGTTTGTCCTACTAAGTTTTAAACCTTTTTCCTCAAGAGTTTGCTTCCACTGTTCCAGTTTTTGTTCTAAATATTTTTCAGTATTTTTTTACTAATACCATCATATTTACTACATCATCAGCATTTAAGCAAGAAGAAATGTTAGCCTGTAGTTTCCCTGATATCTGATCTTTTCATTTCATTCTTATCATATTGGATTATAATATTTACTGTTCACAAGGAATCTACGTTCCTGTAGTTGGCTGTATACCATATATTAAAAAAAATTATTAAAATCCTTTGTAAAAGGTATATATTTAAAAACTCAAACGGGCTATGTTAGACAAAACGTTTTCGGAATCCATATTCCATCATCAGTGTCCTAAAAAGTATATAACCACTTAATTAAAAAGAACATGAAGTTTAAATTTTGACCAAGGTTAATGCAAAGTGTGGTTAATACTTACTAGGTGTACATGAATGTAGCCACTAAATATATGGGTAAAAACCCGTTAACAATTAATTAGTTAAATTTGGTTTACATTATTTCTTATAAAATATTAAGATGTTAAAGTTACCGTTGGATTAGGTAACATGGCGACATATGACTCCATGTGAAGTTGCTGGTTCTGAGACGGTGTGTCTACGAGGACTTTATGAAAGCAACTGATTGAAATAACAATGTTGACCAGTTAGGACGGAAGTCGTAACAGAGTAGTCAATGTAACTGTATGTGTCTATTTAAGACACAAGCCAACGTTATTTAAAATTGTTAAAGTAAAATAAATTAATATAACAGTATCAACCATCAATGTTGTTGTTTTAAAATTATGTATATAAGATAAAATGTGGTAAGAAAATTATGTGTTTATAGTTAGGCAACCAACTATAGACCCTTTATGTTTCTTCAACATTTGGTACCTGGAAAATAGAAACTAGACACATGTGGGAAGTTGAGTTCTTTAAATTTTATTGTTATTGGTGGAATAGGAATAAATACATTTAAAATATGAAAGTGCTCTTGAGTAAAGAAAATAAAACTTTTTTAGTATAATGTCCATGTAATATTTAACTTATAACTTAATTATAGACATACAGAGCCTTCTATATCACCCGAATCTTATTCACTACCTTTTTTCTGAGTGTTAATGTTTCCGATTTAATTTAGACTTGATTTAATATATTTACTTAAATAATCAGTGGCGCCCTTTCGGCCTTAAGATTCTCATTTGTTTCTTTGTTCTGTTTATATATATATATATATATATATATATATATATATATATATATATATATATATATATATATATATATATTTATGTTTATAGTATATTCTATATACTTTGAGTGAGTGTTCTGCATTTAAGAAGTCTGCACATTTTCATAGTTTGTGGTATTGTATGATTTACCACATACAGAATTTCACCCTTCAATAAGCAATATTCTTGCACAATTATTTGCTTTGCTATTTCTTTTATTCTTATAATCTTGGCTATTTCATTTAGTAGTTCTTGTAACTAGCTTCACCCGATTGTATTTTTGTTATTGAAATTAAAGTTTACTGTTTTTTCTTCAAATAACGTAAGGGTGGTTAAGCCTTCACTTTCTGTATTGATAAGAAGTTTTGACTCACTCGTCTCCTCTGATTGTTCATCAGATAAATCTCCTAATAACACGTAGCTTTTAGGTCCACATTGATATAGGAATTTTCTGTATTATTTTGTTTTCCTTCTTCTTTTTATACGTTAAAAATTTGCAGTATTTTTATACGTTAAAACATATGGAAAATATTTCTTCGTACCCTCATTAATGTCTGATATATTGTTTGATGCATTTTCCGTATTACTAGATGCACGACATCGTCTATTTTTACGTGGCAGAATTAAAATAATTACTAAAAACAAATATTAATTTTATATATAAAAAAAATAATAATTCGAGTTTATTAAAGTTCTGATACATACCTTGCGAATTAGGCTCTGGAAGTGTTTCCCTCGGAACCAAATGCATCACTGTAGTCTTTCCAAATGGTAATCCTAGTGCACCTAAAGTTACGTTACTATGAAGAAAGCGACCTTGATAGATAAGTCTGAGTATTTCAGCCTTTGAGACAGCTTCTTGGCACCAATCTGAAACGAAAAACATAGTGTGAGAAACACGCGAGGTGATTCGGTGTAATATTTGGCATCAACACCTAAGAGGACATAAAGTTTTGATTAATGGTAGTATTACATGTAGAAAAAACTTATATAATGTATTGTGATCGTTAAATATACGATAGTTAACATGTTAGGTTAGGATAATTTTGTTGCAAGTAGTTTCTGAGACTGGTTGATATATTTAAGCATTTAGATTTCCTCCACGGTAGTATAGAACAAATTTTCATCCAATTTGAAAATTACCCGCAAAAATTCGACGACGACATCGACGTACTATGAGCTTCACTGAATTTAATAAATTACATAGGTCTGCAGTCACTACATAGGATATCAGTCACTAGTACATTCAGCCGTTTATATGGGCGAATAATTAGAGACCGCATTGAGAAGGAATACAAAGACCAAGAGGAAGAAGAACAATCCGGTTTTCGAACAGGAAGAAGCTGTACTGATAATATCTTCTGCCTCAAACAACTAATAGAAAAACAATTAAGCACAAATCAAGAAACCCACCTCATGTTTATTGACTTGTAGAAGGCGTACGATACAGTTCCTGTAAACAAACTCTGGAACGTGTTACCACAGACGAATATTAGTGTCACCTTATTAAAAGCCTTAAGAAATTTGTATGAAGGGTCAACATCACAAATAAAAACTGGAGACACACTATCGCAAAGCTTCCTGGTTAATAAAGGTCTACGTCAGGGGTATTGCGTATCACCGACCTTGTTTAAAATATATGCTGCAAAAGCATTGAAAGAGTGGAAACGAAAATGCAGAGGAATGGGCGTAGACCTTGGGGAGATTTGCTTATATACATTGCAGTTTGCTGATGACCAGTTTGTTACAGAAAACGATAAAGATGATCTGGAGTACATGGGAAGGAAATTACAAGAAGAATATAAAAAGTGGGGACTAGAAATTAATACAGAAAAAACAAAATACCTGCCAATAGGTACCGAACTAACCGAACTATCGAACATCACATTAGAAAATAACGAAATCATGCCCTGCGACCATTACACATACCTAAGAATCGTTTTTGACACAACGGGGAAAGAGGATGAAGAAATAAAGAGAAGAATAACACAATCCAGAAAAACAATAGGTTGTCTAAACAGCGTAGTGTGGAGTCATGAAATAGGAAAAAGAAGAAAACACAATATCTACAAATCTCTTATTAAAAGTCTATTGTACGGAGCACAAACTTGGCGAATAACTGAAAACAACAGAAGAAAACTGGAGGCAGTAGAAACGGACGCTTTTAGAAGATCAGTAGGAGTGTCACGCAGAGAGAGAATACGTAATGATGAGATAAGACAGCGAATGGGGGTTTACGGCTCTCTAACAACAGACATAGAAAGAAAACAGCTGATATGGTACGGACACGTCCAGAGGATGGATAACTTAAGACTCCCAAAAATAATTATGCAGTGGGTACCACCAAATCGCAGAAAGAGTGGAAGACCCAAGAAATCTTGGAGAGAGGGAGTAACGAAGGCGATGAGCGCAAGAGATCTTAGAGAGGGCCAATGGGATGATAGAGTGTCATGGAAATTAGGCATTGGACAACTTCGCAAGACGTTTTAAAACCGATTAATATATATATATATATATATATATATTATATATATATATATATATGAATATATATATAATATATATTATTATATATATATATAATATATAATATATATATTATATATAAATATATATAATATATATATATATATATATATATATATATATATATATATATATATTATTATATATATATATATTATATAGGTCTGCAACCAAAATTGTTTAAATTTAACAAGCGATTTTCATACTGTTTTCAACGCTGATTTCAAGAAAAATAGTAAAAAAAATTTCATCACGTAGAGTTATTTCATATATTTGATTTAATAAAGAATAATTAGAAGAAACCAGCAGTATTTTCACGTCAGCACTTATTCTTGCCGTACCCCTCCCTATCCACTTGTTAACCCCTGCGCCTTCTTTCATGTCAGTGCCTTTCATCTGCCACGCTGAAACTTTCTCCGCCACTAACAAGCAGTAAGCATCTGATACTGTCCTACAGTTCACAGCCACACATCACTCGGTGCAGTTCACATGTTGTTGTTACTAGTGCTTTAAAGTACTGAGTGTTTTCTTGTGTTGTATAGACATTATACAATAGCCACCAGAGGATGTATGAACTCGCCAGATTGCTTCTGTTACATTTGCGGTAATTGTACCGTTAAAAAGCAACAAAGAAACGTTTCCGATTTCGTTGAAAAAGTATATTTTGCATATTTTGGTATAAAGTTAGGCGATCAATATAAGCCTTGTTCTTGCAACGTACGAAGTTTCAATTTAAGAAACAAAAAGGACATTTCTTAACCTAACATTCAATCAGCCATTCGCTCTGTCTCTCATGAACCTGAAGCGTCAATATCCTCTCCTCCAGATTCTTTGGATGATATACATGATGGTCACGAGCCATTGGATCAGCAAGGTGACAGTGATTGCTACGATCCTGGGACAACTGATCCCATTCCATTCTCACAATTTGAACTGAATGATTTAGTAAGAGATCTAGGTCTTTCTATCGCGGAATCGACGAAAGTTTTGGGATCAAGATTGAAAAATAAACATATTATTGGCTTCGGATATATCCTTTTCTTGGTATCGATGTAGGGAAAAGGATTTTTTTATCTTTCTTCTGTCAAGAAGATGACCTGGTGTTTTAAAGTGATGGTCCTGGACTTCTGGCACATTTCAAACTAGAATATGCTCCTGATTTGATTCTTCAAAAAGAAGCTTCAGAACAATTGGACACTAGGTTCACTTGAAAGAATGTTACAAAAGCCTTGATCTGGTTTTAAGCAAACTTTGCTATTCAGATCACAAATGGACATTATGTGGTGATTTAAATGCTTCTTGGTCAACAAAGTGGCTATACAAAGATGCCTAGCTTTATCTGTGAATGAGACAGTGGGGACAGAAAGTAATACTACATAAAAAAATCTTGGCCTTTGAGAGAAAGCTTACAAGTAGGGGTTAAAAATGTTGAGAGGAAAAGCCTTGTGGATCCCAAAAAGTTGTTACTTCCACCACTTCACATTAAGTTGGGGAGTGATTTTGTCAAGGCATTGACTAAAGAAGGGGAGTGTTTCAGATGTATTTGTGGAGAGTTTCCTGGTTTATCCACGGCAAAGCAAAAGGAATCTAAAAGGAAACTAATGACTTTGTGGGCAAAATGGAAACAAATGAAAAGGGCATAATTTAACTTAGTTGTTACTGGTTTTCTGGTAACAAAAGAGATCCAAACTACAAGACAATCGTCGCAGATATGATCAACAACTTTAAAAAATGGGCTGTAACATGAGCATTAAAGTTCACTTTCTCCGCTCACATCTTGACTACTTCCCGACAAACCTTGGTGATGCCAGTGAAGAGCAGAGCAAAAATTGCACCAAGACATTAAAGAAACGGAAAGAAGATACTAAGGAAAATGGAACGTGAGCATGATAGCAGATTGCTGCTGGATGATCAACAAGTCCACAGTCGAAAAAGCAGTACAAGAAGCTTCCACAGAAAGCTAAAGCGTTAATATAAGGACTATGAGCATAAAGAGAAATGTTCATCATCATCATCATCATCATCAGTAGCTGGACAACCCTTTCTGGGTCCTGTTCTTTGCTTTGTTTTTCCAGTTGGTAATCTTAAGTGTTTTCAGATTAAAGAGAAATGTTAGTGTACTGGAAATGTAGTTTAGAAGATGATTAATAAATAAACAAACTTTTATAACGTTAGAAAAAGGTGAAAAATCGCTTATGTTTTGTTATTATACTCAAACATACTCCGTACTTTGTGAGAATACCTAAAGTGATAGACAAAAATGGTTTGCATTTTTGAAATTAGTGCTGAAAAGTACATAAAAATCAGTTATCAAATTTCAAACAACTTTCACAAAATATTTTTTTGTAAGCCTGTGTTATCAACCGACCTACGAATTACTACAAATGATCCTAAATTAAAGAAAAGTCATTTATTAATTTAGTAAGAGACCAAGAAAACAAGAATAAATCTAATAATGAAGTATCAGCCGTTAAAAATTTTGTTAAACAATCGAACAGCAGTTAGTTATCATCAAGTATAATAAACTAATGTATTATGCTTGACAAAACACCAATGTTAAAACCAAATGTCCCTTACCTTATGATTCCCTGGACTGAGTGAGGATTTCAGTCATTCCAATTAATATCTGGATATGCGAGCTTCATCGTTATTATCTTTACTATTACTATCACCTTTTAATATAACCTACTCTACGAAATGAACATTTTTACAAGATGTAACAATATGTTATTTTAGATAAAAAAAATATAATGCAATTTATGGAAATGCCTAAATGAAACTATGGAGAAATAAAAATATCGAGAAAGAAATAAAAGGCGGAATTTACAAAACAGTCATCAGACCAATAATGACGCTGCAGAAACACGACCTGACATAGAGAGGACAAAAAGAATGTTAGAACCAGCAGAGATGAAAGCCCTTAGAAAAATTGATGGTAAGACAATATGGAACAGAGCAGGAAGTAAAGATATACGACGTAGATTGCAAGGTGGAAAACATCAAGGACTGGGTAAGAAATAAAAGAGTAGAATGGAACGATCATATAAGCCGAATGACAACAAATGGAGTAGTAAAGAAGGCGAGGGACGGTCAATACGAAAGACGATTAGTAGAAAGACCACGAAAAGATGTAACGATAACTTACTGGAGACAATTTAAAAACTTCTCCCTTCTTAGAGTGCCATATCCCTACGGAACGTCGGCGACTACCATGCTTATAATATTATTATACTGATCTCGGTCTTGCGCTACGTGTAGCAATTGGTCCGCTGTCAAACCTGTCCATTGCCGCAAATTCCTCAACCAAGAGAGTTTCTTCCGTCCTATCCATTTCTTTCCTTCGA